GTGAGAGAGAGAGAGAGAGAGAGAGAGAGAGAGAGAGAGAGAGAGAGAGAGAGAGAGAGAGAGAGAGAGATCATTGAATCATTGAACATCCTTGAGCAGAGGGATCATTGAACATTCGCTGAGGGGTCACACACCTCCATAAAGTGGTTATTTGATAAAATCAAAGGGAGTTGCCAAAAGGATAGGCTTGCTCAGGCTATGTTTTTCATTATCTACGGGCTAGTCTTCACTTGTTGAGCTAATTGTGGAACTTTGTGATCCTCAGAGTTGGTTGTTACAAGTCTGGGTACAGTGGGTAGCGGGACTAGATGCTAACTCATTTCAGACGCCTTAGGGTGAAGAGGTTCTAGTTTTTCGCTGATAGCCCAGAGAGTCTCTGAACTTTGAGAAGTTACCGGATATTTTTTCCATTGGAAGGGACGTTGGACCCTATTTCCAGCAGGTGCAGCTCCCCACCAATGGAAAGGAGCCATCGAAACCTTGCCGGCTTCTATCCTCTGGGGCTCTTATCACCCAAGGGGTAGAAGACCTGGCCCTGAATGATGATTAATTAAAAAAAAAAAAAAAAAAAAAAAAAAAAGAAGGGAAAAGAGAAGAATGTCAAAGTTTTCCAAAATTGTGAATGACTTGACAAGTTTTTGGTCGATCACAGGTTCTTCAAATTTTTTTTTTTTTTTTTTTTTTTTTTTTTTGGGTTCTTCGATTCTTCCTCAATGATATTGATTTCTTAGTTTTATTTTAGCTTTACATCTCTGTGAAGCAGGTGCTCCACTGCGCCCCCCGCCCCCCCGCCCCCCGCCCCCCGCCTTGCAAAATAGATTGGGGTTAGGAAATGGGAAAAATGAAAAAGAAGGGAAGAGAAGAATGCCAAAGTTTTCCAAAATTGAGAATGACTTAACAAGTTGTTGCTGGAACACAGATTGTTCCTCACTGTTTCTTTGGCGAGGGGACTGTGATAAGGACAATGTGATTAGCCGCGTAGCATGGGACTCGGTCGTACAGCCGAAAGTAAGGGGGGGCCTCGGGCTGATTGACCCAGTAACTCAAGTTCAACCGCTGCAGCTACAATGGATCAAGAAACTGCTCTTCTGTCCGAGTAGCCCATGGGCGCTCGTGGCCTTGGAACATCTGGCCCGGCTGGCGCCCAGGACCCCGCCTGAGTCCATCCAATAACATGGTTAGAGGACAGGTTCTGGGCCATTCCAAGACAACTTTCGCTCGCGCATTGCAGCGCACAGTAGGGAGGGGAGGGTGGTGACCAACAACCAGATAATTTTTGGCCGTCCTTATTGAAGAACTGGCGTAAGTTGCCACTCCCAGATAGACCCCACCTGAACCGATGGGAGGAAATTTATAGGCAGCCCCTCTTTGGGAACCGGCTGCTCACAGATACCCAAGGATCCATAAGGAACAGTACTGTTACACCATGGCAGAGCTGGGTCAGAAGGGGGATCTTACGTGTAGGGGATCTGTGGGATGGTGAGAAGAAGGATTAGAAGACAACAGACCAGCTGTCGAGGATATTATTGAGACAATGTTGTTGGCCTGTCGTGGAATTCTGCGGCGGGGCCCGACCTTGAGAGAAGGGGATTGGGTAATGATCAAAGGAAAGTCTGCACAGGTGGGCCGGGTTCATCAGATAGACCCAAGTATGGCCTTGATAGAACACTATAGTATTTCCCACACTAACAGACTACAGGGCCACTCAGCCCCCTTCGAGTGGGTAGACCGGGATCTAGTATACCGAGTCAAGGTTCTGGAGGAAAAAGGGGAAATACATGGTCTTCCAGCCCCAAATTGGCATCCATGAGCTGGCCTTAGACCCAATGGAATGGCAGTGGAAAACCCTCCAAACACCAACAGGATCGCCCTCACGATATGTCACGTTGCATAGCCTGACAGTGAAATCCGCATACCGGATGCTGAGACCAAAGCGCCACCTGAGAGATGTGATTATTGACCGATGGGCCAAACACCTCAATGTGGACCGCCACTTGCTTACGCCGATCCGGTGGTTTCGAGAGCGAAAGTTTAAACTGGCTAAGATCACCTCATTACAATGGCAAATAGTGCACCGCTGTCTGCTAACAAATGACTGGCTGACGGATCGCACCAACCTGGAACAAAAAGGGCTGATATCACCCTGGTGTCTGCGCTGTATCCAGCACTTTCCGACTGGTAAAAGGGCTGAAGCAATCGAGCATATCTTCATGCAGTGCCCAATTGCAGGCTTCACATGGAGATGGTGGGACCGGATATGGAGGAAAATGGGGTTGAAGAACCCTTGGCCTTGGTCCTGGTAGGCGATCCTTGCTGTTTTTTGGCCAGCACAGGAGGCGACGCCCTTTGAAGAAAATATGTACAGACTTGGGAGACAGCGGTTCTGTGGGCATTATGGTGGCAGCCGTGCCTCCTGGCCATGGAAAAGATATGTGTGGAGAGTGCAGAGATTACTGACCAGATCAAGCAGCATATCCAGTTAGAGCTGACGCGTAGATGGCGTTCCGTAAAAGTCCAATTGGATTTGTTCCAGCAAGCAAAGAATGTGAAGAAATTTCTGCAAGGAATGGTTGGGGGGGAACAGCGGGGGGTGGATAGCAGAAGTGGAATGGAGTGGAGATAAGACGGAGGGCGATCAGGATTTGGAAGGCATAAGGAACTACCGGTTAGTGTTCAAGGACTGGACCAACATTGAACCCTCCTTTCCACTTCGCCCTGCTACAGACTTTCCTGACCCTTTCCCTCCCCATGCCCTTTCCTTGGCAGAAATTCTGAGTTAAAATTTAAAAAAAAACGGACCCGAGCTCCGGTGCCCCCCAGGGTTGGACCTGGTCAGAGCAGAAGAGCACAAGGTCTTGGCTGAGATGGAACAACAGAAGACTACAGAAGATCACAGAAGGAGTTGACGTCCTCAACTGCAAGCAACAGTCGACATCTGGCGCCTGGCGGCCGGAGTGCCTAGGGCAATTAATGCTGGCAGATATTAACCCTTTTGCTTTTCTAGTACACCTGCTCAGTTAATCCCCTGGTTACTCAGGGCACTCAATGCTGGCAGTCAATAGTCCCCTCATACATTGCAGTCATAACCTCAAAAAACAGATCAGAAAAAAGGGGAGGGAGGAACTGGTTTCTCAGCAGTAGATATCTGGCGCCTGGTACAGGGTGAAGAGGTATTCTCCTTTCTTCTCAGCAACCTGCACAGTTAATCCTCTGGAGGACAGAGTAATCAAAGCTGGCAGGTCTTTTCTGAGTCTACTTCCCTGATATCTTCTTGATTCATCCTGTATTCACTCTGTATATGGGACACTCGACTCATTTTCCAATAGGTGATGCTCCCCACCAATAGATGGAGCCCCTCCCCGGGTGCTAGTGGTGTCTTCTCTCACCAGCGCCACTAGCACTGCAGGGGGTGTCGGTTTGAAAAAAAAAAAAAAAAAAAAAAAAAAAAAAAAGATATTGATTTTTTGGTTTTTTATTTTTATTTTTTTCTACAAGAAGCATCTGCTGTGGACCTCTCTGTTATTGATATCGCACTTTTGGGGTGGGTAAACCGTAGCTACGTCGAGACCTGACCTGCCCAAGCCTAATGAGGTGAGGCCAGGTGTCGTACCGGTTTCTGACGGGCCCAGCAGGGGAAAATCGGGGAACAGTAGTAACTGCTCTGTCAAAAGGAAGGCCCTTCCAGGTAGCGCGGCAGTCTTAAGGGGCTCACAGCACTGCTC